AATTTTTATTTTAAAAAATTAACTAAAATATAATAATTTTAAGAGTAATATAGCCTCTTGGAATTAAATAAATTTTAATTCAAAATTTTTTATTTGAAAGAATTAAATAAATTAATATTGATATGATTTGAAGAAATTCTATTTAAATAAATAAATTAAAGAAAATAAGTTTTTTAAGTGTTCTATTTAAAAATTAAATATTTAAAATATAAATTTATATAATATATTATTAATTATGATAATATGATATTAAAATAATTTTTCTTTTTTAAATTTTTTCCAATTGCACGTGCCTATAAATGCCTCAGTTGTTGCTGTACTCATTTTCCTATGGTAGGATGATTAAGTAATTAACAATTAAAAAATATCAATTGTTAGGACTTGAGAGGGGTATCTAGCCATACTTGAGAGAGGTATCTAGCCACGTTTCGTTTGGACGGTTTCGAAGGCAGTTGCTAATTTCAAAGCCAATTGGGTGCTGCTCAATGGTTTCTTTAAGGGTTTTGCTCGAGAGACTGACAAAGTTGCATTGAAATATCAATGGGCCTGATCCTAGGATTATTTTTATACACTTCAAATCTTTTAAGTTTGCTTTGAATGTTCATTGAGTAATGATCTGCGTGATAAATTTGTGAGACGATATTAAGAGACGACAAGTGAAAATAGGATCAAATTAGTAATTACTGTTGGGATTGCTTCACTTATCATTCTCCAAAATCGTCTCACAAATTCGTCCCGCAGACCATTACTCATATTCATTTAAAAGTCTTGTGTGACGATGATTATTTCTGACTGTATTTATTAAAAAAATATAAATATTAATTAAAGTACACATTTTTTGGCATTGCAGATCTTGAATTGTCGCGGAATGCCATTTCTTTCATTATAGCTCCGCAAGACTCATTTTCTTCAAATTTGGGTTTAATTGATTGTCGGCAAGGGCAATGACTAAGAAATCGTTCTTCTCACTAGTATAAAACTTATGATTAGTTTTGAATGTGATTATTATATTTAATTTTTTTTCAAAGTAAATCCAGTATTAAAAGAAGAAAATCAAGTATTTGGATTTGAGTAATGATACGCAGGATAATTTTGGAGACGAAACCATGGAACGACAAGTGAAGTAAGGTTAAATTGATAATTATTATTGGGATTGCTTCACTTGTCGTCTCGTGATTTCACCCCCCAAAATCGTCCTGTGTAGCATTACTTTTTGGATTCCACAACACCCCTTTGGAGCTCCTCAGTTTCAATGATCGCCGTCAATAATGGAGAAACTTTGATTTATTTTCCTTTTATTCCAAGAAAAAAAAAA